GGCAGTCTGGGTATGCCTCATTACGTGCTGATTACTAGAGCAGTACATCTTGAATTCGTCATGAACAACACAGTTCAAATTCAACACAGTTCAAATTTTAAATAGTATGGATGAAGTTTGACTCTTTTCATCAATCCGAACAGCGATATTCACAGAGAAGTGAACTTCATTGGAGAATATCTTCAGTTTGTGAGACAACAGCTCTTACTACTAAAACTTTCGAGGTGTGCGGAATGCACAATGCATTCTAGTGAAATGAAATGTGGCATAGCTGTGTAGATAGGGATAGTGATAATAATTCCTCACTACATAAACAAGCTGCTTATGAAACCCATCATGAACATGTTTGAATTCACTTTTGTCTCGTCTCACACTAGCGAAGAAACCTTTTGGTCAACACACCGAAGCCATAACAAGAATAGAAATACTTAGATCTCATGGTCTCGCCTTGCAGAAATTTATAATGCTAATGGAGGAAACAAATGAATTGAATCACGCCAAAAAGGGCAGTAAGATGTGAAAGAGAAAAAGCTGTATTGTCGATATCATTGAATTATCATACCGTTCATTTTCACATCCTTCACAGAAAAAGTCCTTCATGTACTATTATAGATCATTTGATTAGGTAGTCGAGAGGTGTCCACGATAGGGCAATCGCGTCGCAAGAGGCCGATTTTGACTGTATTCCAGTGTGTAGGTTATCGTATCATAATTTGCACATCATTTAACTTTCTCATCATACCCACACAGGATGTCACAATAACAGAGTGGAACATTGGGGAGTATGGAAGTGAGAAGAAGGGAAGGGAAGGATTATCTGGGTAATTCAATAAAATTCACTTAATGAAATTTTACCTTCAATTTCGGAGACTCAACTTTCGTTACAAAGAGATCTCAATGAAATGTCCTCGTAAGACGTTCACCTGATTGTTCATGACATGTGCCCAACGTCGCAGCTGATTTTCGAATTCTGAAGTCCGGAACTGTGCAGGCTTAACAACAGAACTTGAAGATCTCGTTCCCAAACTCTAACTGAACATTGAAACTCTTCTCCCTATGGTAACAAGCGTGCAAATAAAATGAGTAGATTGGTGGGCAAGATCTAGCAGTTAAGGTGAATAGGGTAGTTCCTACTATCAGAAATCGAATTTTTTGCCGGGCTTGCGAAGCTTTGGAATGTGCGGTTGGGCGTCATCGTGAAGAAGGTAAATTCCCGGGTTTCGGGTGTTCCGTCGAATTAGTCGCTCAACAGCTGCAGTTGAAAAGCTTACATTTGAGGAGTCATTGTGAACTAATATAATTGGGAAGAAGATCGAAATAAAGCGCCTTTCAAGAATCTCGTCAATAAGGGCAAAACCTTTCTCGTGAATTAGTCACCATTTCCCTGTTTTTGAGGTGTATAGCCACTAGTGGCGTCGGGTATGATTGACATGCTAAATTCAACTAACATCCCTAACAACGACGTACGGAAAGCTCTTTCCTGTGAGCACCCAGAAGCAACGATATGCGTAGTGATTCTTGACATTTTATCCGAGTTCTGAATTCGGTGTGGTTCCTTACTCATTAATACTACACTAGCGTATGATTGGCATGCTGAACTCAACTACCATTTCTGGGGAAATGAGATGATGGGAAAACTCCACACTCATAGCTTTATATTACCTTACGATAGCCTGAATAATTGCTATGGTAATCGACAGTTTTCCAGCTGCGCCCAAGCGTCGTTGAAACCTGGCGCAAATTTGCACTGAACCTCGCTTTCTGAGCATCGGGCAGCCTTCTTGTATCACAGCAGTAGGGCTTCCGGAACGATGTTCACTTTTGAATAACTTTCACACAAAGAAAGCGCTTATACCAGCAGTGCACGTTGGGCTGGGTTATGAGAGTTATCTTGAATGCTGACACTCGTAATGCGCGTATGCTGACAAAATCGAATGTAGAAGTTGGGGTTTCGTAGGAGCTAGTTAAAAAGATTGCTCACAGATGACTCCAGTCAGTTAGAGCCATCGTTGCTTCACAAGCATGGATTCTCTAATGAACCACCTCAGTGAAGATCCGACGCTTCATCTCCTACTATGATTTCTAATGACCCTCCAAAAAAATCTAGAAAAGAATAGAAATTTCGATCAACTTTTTCTTCGATATGTTTGAAATGAAGAAACGCTATACTATGGTGTTTCATCCCATGACCCTACTGGAAATAGTTAAAGCAACAGTCCCAGCAGGGTCTGCTTCTTTCAATACTAATGGCACTAAAGGATGCACAGGCCCTATTGGAGAACATCTAAAGTGTAGTTATAAAGAAAACTCACCTGGGAAAAGCCTAAAAAGGGCGTTAAACTCCTCAAAGATGGGTGTGGTTGGAGATTTCTTCGGGACCGCCCACTTGCCAGCCGTGATTGGCTACGGAGGCATTCGTGCTCGTTTTGGGACCACAGGGAGTATTTGAACTCTGTCCTTTAAAGTAATCAATGTGATCCTGCCTGTTGCACTGGAATTGTTTCTTTTTTTGTTGTGATGTTGTTATGTTATGTTATGTAATTATGTTAGTGTTATGCAACTGGAGCGCATTTAGTGGGGCAAGTTCAGACAACTCGTCCAACGCGCGTCTTCCCTCTAAGCGGCAGAAGGGGAGTCCCTGTTTAAAGCCCTGTTCGGCGTTTTTCTTTGGTTTTTTCGTCACTATCGGTCAAATTGTCGCCTATAACTACATTATCAACGGTATTTACCCCGCAAATTCGTCCTGAGATTGTTGCTTTGAACCTTCTACAGCAAAGCACTCCGTCTTAAACGTTATCCTTAATCACTGATCTTTTACCGAACAACATTCACTACCTCTCTTCTCCTTCTCGACTCGGCCTGCGAACAACGCGGTGAATGGAATCCAGTCTCTCTTTACTACTTGATTTTGTATGATGTCACCGAAACTACAATCAGTCTGCTGTTACTACATTTCCGGAAGTGAAACTTAAAACCATACTCGTGACCTATTCATTTATCTGTAATGCTAGTTTACCCACACAATCACAATCAAACCTGCTCGACAGTGACTTGTGCAAACATATGAACGAGTAATGGTACTGGATGAGAGCATCTACCAAACAACCCATCAAATATTGTTGACTTCTATACGAAACGAGAGAAGTAATGACAAGAATATTGTTACTGAAAGCCATTGGGGTCAAATAAACTATGAAAGTTGTAACAATTATGAGACGAAAACTAGCGAAATGGCACCCGTATTAGGTAAGTATAGAGGTTCTTGTAAGGTGAGCTACCTTAGCGCACTCAACGAAGAAATCACGCTCGCCATTGACAAACGACGGTTTGCATTAGGTAGCTGAAGACATGTGCTGTCGTCGTCGGCCCACCAGCGTTTTGTGCGGAAACGAATCGACTTCGACATCGCAGCTAGGCCGTAGTTGTGTTCAGCAGACACGCAAAGGATGTATCTGAAGTATGGATCTTCATCAAACATTTAATCTTTAAAGGCACACTCCGTTCAGTGGAACAGCGAATACCATAAGAAGGACGACGTGTCGTACCGCGTTGTCAGGCTCCAAACTACGTTCCGACAGCCCAAATCTGGTCAGCCCGTCCTCCGATGACGTGTCGCTGTTTGCGTCGTAAGGCTTACCTGCTACGCCCCTTCACTTAGGAGGTTCTAACTATCCTCTCGGTTTCCATCATCTCCTTCTCGCTGTGCGTATGGACTCAGATAACGATAGGGAGCGTACCGCGCCGATAGCGCGCACTAGCGCCGCGGGGGGGCAATGTTAGATCCGGGACATATCCTTCTTTGCGAGTCGTACCCTCAAAAGGTCTGCCTGCCTCTCCACTAGGGAAGTTTGCGCTCC